TATATATATATATATATATAAACTCAAAAATATAAAATCATCACTTTTAATTTCAAACAATCATTTTTAAAAAAATAAATAAGCCTTATTCTACGAAACTATAAAAATAATTTAAAAGTAACCCACAACGAATATAATATAACTAACCGGAGTATTGTGTACAACATATAAAATGAACACTTGACATTTTAATAAATAAATAAATAATTGAAATTAATTTTATAAAAATGTTAAAAATAATAGTTTCAAATTTTAGAATAATAAAAAAAGGAAAATAAATAATAGAAATCAAAATCATTTATAAGAACTTTTTCCATTTTCTAATGACTACAAACATGTTTAGATGTAAAAATAAATGCTAGATTTTCTGATGTAAACTTATTAAGAATGTGTCGGTTATAATTACCAAAATCAGAATCATGTGAGATTTCTTAATTTCAATGTCTGCATTAACTTTTGCATTGGGGTCCTATAAAATCAAGTCATTGGCACCTTTTTTTTGACACAAAGGTAAAGATGCCATCATCACGAGCTCTCTGTGTGTCTCTTGCGTTGCTTTTGTTGGTCTCAGTTTCTTGTTCCTATGCAACTTCTCGCCTCAGCAGTGGCCGTGTCAGTGCCAAACCACCACTATCACAAGCTGAAAGGCTCATAAGAAGTCTTAACCTATTTCCAAACAAACCAGTTAACATTATTAAGGGTGACGTTGCTGATTTCGTCCCTGGAAAGATCGTAGAGAAGAAGTTCTCGTTTCTTGGTGATTCTGGGCCTTCCATCGAAGACCTTGGTCACCATGCAGGTTACTATTCACTTCCTCATTCCAAAGCAGCAAGGTAAAATATGTATATCCTTCTCATATAATTTCATATCACTTTGTCTTTTGGGATCCCAAAGTCATATTCGATTATTCATTGTAAATGTCATGTGATGAGTCAAATTAAGTGCTTTGCAACCAAAAAAATATATGAATAGTTTAAATGTGTTATTTTTTTTATTATATCACATATACACGAAATTAACACCCTTAATATAATTAATTAAGAGGGAAATAATAACGTTGTGTATTTTTAAAATTAATTCTTTTAATGATAAAATATCGGATCAAATTGAATCGAGTAAATAAATAAAAAGGATCAAGAGTAATTTAGTCTTCATTTTATTTAATATAAATACTTTTTTTTTCTTTTTTCTAATATGTGATCCTGATATGAATTGCAATCTACTACAACTCGCAGGATGTTCTACTTTTTCTTTGAATCACGAAACAAAAAGGATGATCCTGTTGTTATATGGTTGACTGGAGGACCAGGTTGCGCCAGTGAACTAGCTTTGTTTTATGAAAATGGTCCTTTCCATATTGCTAATGATTCGTCTCTTACATGGAATGATTATGGCTGGGACCAGGTAACCATCTATTTCCATCTTTCCTTTATTATCGAAAGTGTTACATCAAAATTGTTAGCTTATTTGTATTGTATCAACAATTTTTCTCCTCTTCCTTTTGCAGGCATCAAATATTATATTTGTTGACCAGCCTACAGGTACAGGTTTTAGTTACTCTTCTGATGAAAGTGACATTCCACATGATGAAGTTGGCGTCAGCAATGATTTATATGACTTCTTGCAGGTGATAATTATACAAAATTTCCTTCTTTCATTCCATTTATCCGAATACAATGATTCTTGTTGTGTACTATATTATATATATATATATATATATATATATATTACTATAATATGCAGGAGTTTTTCAAGGCGCATTCAAATTTCATTAAGAATGACTTTTATATTACTGGAGAATCATATGCCGGACACTATATTCCGGCTCTTGCTTCCCGAATTAACCAAGCAAATAAGAAAAATGAAGGACTTCATATAAACCTTAAGGTTTGGTACCATTTCTTATATATTTTGCATTATTACTGTGGTTGAAAGGTTAGTTATTTAATTATTATTTGTCTTACTTTTGCTTGTATTGATTCATTTGATATAACAACAGGGTTTTGCTATCGGTAATGGATTAACAAATCCTGCAATTCAATACCCAGCATATAATGATTTCGCATTAGACAATGGAGTAATTAGAAAGGAAGATTACGATGATATCAAAAAGTTAATCCCAGGCTGTGAGCAAGCTGCTAAAACTTGTGGTAAATATTTCATTTTCGTTTATTACTCACACAACCTTCTTTTTTTTTTTTTACTAATGTATATTGTTTCTTTTTGTGATGTTGTTTGTTTGATTTTTCAGATGCTCAAGGTGGACAAAGTTGCGAGACTGCATTAGAAACGTGTGAAAACATATTCAATAGTATCACAACAATTGCTGGCAACATTAATGTAAGTAATGATGAATGATTAATGCCTTTTCTTTTTTACTACTGAGTTCAGTTTTGTTGTGTATTTTTCTGATATGCAAGTTGCAGGTCTATGACATTAGAAAGCAATGTGTGGGATCTTTGTGCTATGACTTTGGAAATGTGGAGATATTGTTAAGCCAACAGCAAGTAAAGAGTGCTTTGGGTGTGCCAAACGACTTGCAGTTTGTTTCATGCAGTTCAAGAGTGCATGATGCCTTTGAGGAAGATTTGATGAGAAACTTGGAGGTGGGAATTCCTTCTCTTCTTGAGGATGGAATCAAGATGCTTGTGTATGCTGGTGATAAGGATCTCATATGCAATTGGCTTGGTAAGTCTACTTCATTCATTTGAAATACATTTGTTTTTGTGTTGAAAAAATTATATATTATATGCTAGATTGAATTATTGGTATGGTTGTTATTTTGCAGGGAATTCAAGGTGGGTTCACGCGATGGAGTGGTCAGGTCAAAAGTCCTTTGGAACATCTCCTACTGTGAAATTTGTGGTTGATGGTGTTGAAGCAGGGTCTTTGAATAGTTATGGACCTCTTTCTTTTCTCAAGGTTTGTATTCATGGTTGTATTCTTGAGTATGCATGACGCTGTTAATTTCACTTTTTTATAATTTGATTTGTGTGATACTACAATAGGTACGTGATGCTGGGCACTTGGTCCCTATGGATCAACCAAAAGCTGCACTTGAAATGTTGAAAAGCTGGATGGCAGGGAATCTGAAATAAGCAAAAAGCAGTTACTTAATGTCCTTCAAATTTAATATAGATTCACCTCAATACCAAAACCAAACGTAATCTCAGACATGGATAGTGTTCACAATTATTTTGTAGCTGACTTTTTTGCATAAATTGGAGGGTCGAAATTATATTTTTTTCCGAACCTTTTGCTGAAATTCCTGATCTTTACAGTCCTGTTAACTATTTGTGCAAGGTTCACTGTTTGCGTATTTTTAAAAAAAAAATCAATTCTAGAATAAACAATTAAAAATATTCAGCTTTATCCCAAGTAAACGATGTGGGATTCAATCTTTTGTGACGTTGTAAAATTTAACATGGCCGAAAACTAACATAGAACAAGCAGTTCATATGGAGTGGAGCGTGGATAAAATCGTGCTTCTACCGGGAGTTAAGTTATACGTCTATTAGATTGAGTTTGTAAGCAACTTTAGTTATTTTATAAGTTAACTGTTCATAAAAAAAATATGATCAAAATATGGAGCTCATATTTATTTCTTACTAGCCATGTTCATTTTTGAGAATTTTTCCCTAACGGTCTGATAAATTTATAAGTCGCAAAATATAAACGATCAAGATAAAGAAACGGTGTCTATAATTTATAAATTTACAAATCGTAAAGATCGATGAGAATGATGAAGTATATAGAAATAAGAAACATACCGTCGTTGGAACTAGAGAAGCGAATAGGTTTCCAAAGAAGGTTCAATGTTGCATTTGTTTATAACCATTGGCGGATTAGATTAGATGAAATTAGTTTTATTAGGGGTGAGCAAAAAGTACCACCCTAAACTCGGTTAAACCAATTCAAAAATAATTATAAAGATAGAAATAATTATAAAGATGATCGTAATAAAAATTGAATTTAGGTTCTGGTACTTCTAGGCATAGCTTAAATGGTTTAAGTGAGATTTTGGATTAAATAATTAAAAAAATGGTTTTGGATGGTTAATTTCGGGCGAGTGTGGCTTAGGGAAAAAAATTCGTTCAAACCCACACATGACCGAATATTTAAGTGTTTGAATTTAAATTTATTGGAATGCATTTGCAACACATTATTACTTCTTTCGGTTTTCAAAGTTTACATTGAAATGTAATTATTATTATGTCTTGAGAAGTTAAAATGTTGTAGTCATATTATCAAAAGAAAATATGCATATTATCAGATAAAGTTTCTATCATTTAGGCGACATCTTGAACTGTAACTCTATAAGTGTACTTTTTTTTTTTTGGTTTCTCAATTTCTCACTCTAGTAAAGTTGAATCATTGTGTGAAAGATGGAGGTTTGATTTTGGTCCAGTTTTTTGTTTCTCTCTTGCTTCATCAGAGATATGTTCTTTCTTCACTTTCACAGCTTCATTTCTCTTATTCACTTCATCTCTTCAATTTGCTATTCTCCATCTTTTTTCTCTTTAGTATCTCAGAATCACATCGGAGTTTCACGTCCACAACGGACGACACTCTTGTGGTGCATGATCAAACCCGTTGCAACCCATCAAGCTAAAAAAACCGACCGACCCAGAGGCAATAGGATCGGAAACGATTTTAATTAAAATAAGAGCATTCGGTTTTGGTCGGATTGACCATTTTGAGCCCAAATCCGACCGTAATGGACCGATGAGTACCCTATCATTTAAGTTGTTTATATTGTTCTTTATTGTGGTTTGAGGCTCATATAATCATATTTATATCAGAGTCAAGTCAAGTTGTGTTGTTCTAGGACGAGTCATGCTAGAGGTGACTCTATTTTGAGTTACTATTTTAAAGTAATTAAATCTTGTATAAATGTTTGATTAATAATTAGATTTATTTTATATATAACTATTACTTCTTTTATATGAAATATGTATATATATGTTTAGAATTAGTTGTTTTATTTCTTGCATACACTACAATAAAATAGATTTTTAGTGATATTTAATATGATTTTTAGTGGTAACAAAAATTGTTATAAAATCTTTTATCGACATTTCACACATTAGTCATTGTATGCAGTGTCGCTAAAATATTTACCGGCAATTATTCTATATGCTGGTAAAGACCCTCATAATGGTCGGGAAAAATGTATAACTTTTTGTGTCATTTGTTACTGGCATTTAAAATTGCCACTAAAAGTTTAAGAAAAGATTTATAATACTCTTTAATTATCTTATTTCTAGTCAATGTAGGACTTGCAAGATAAGTACAAATACTCTTTAGTTACCTTATTTCTAATTGATGTGGGACTTAGAAGATGAAGGTTATCTTCTAAGTATATATTCTTTAATTTTTTTAATTATCTTATCACCTAAATATCAACTTAGAATAATAAGTTATAGGTCTAACTCAACCTTATAAAACGTACTCATAAGGTGAGAGTTATCATTCACTTATATACTCTTTAATTATTTTATTTCTAGTCGATGTGGGACTTAAGTTTTTTCTAACAAATAATTGTCGCTAATAGTAAATTTTGATGTGATATAAATACATTTTTAGTGACCATTATATAATAGTCATTAATATTTTTATTAAAAAATAAAATAGAAGAAATTAATTTATTACTATTAAATAATTATCGGTAATACTAAATTTTGTTATAGTGATATATGACTGCTCTCATAAGATTTATCTATTTATTGCATGATATACTAGACTTGATTGTATTCCTATTTAGTTGTTGTTAGATCATAGTAAGTGTAGTACTAAGCAGGTGGTTACATTTAAATATTTTGTGAAGAGATAATTAAAATAAAAATTATTTAAATATATAATTAAATTTAAAATAATTCATGATAAATTAAAATGATAATTAAATATATAAATTGTTCTATCTCTATCCTGTGTGTCAAAACCCATGTTATTCTAAAATTATTTTGTAGTTCATCATATTTCACTTTATTTCAAATCATGTCAAATTTGATATATATAATCTTAGATATAATATTACATAATTTCACGGTTAAATTAATGAAATTTGATATTATATAAAAATTTATTGAAAAAATAAAATTTGCTATAAATTTTTTATACTTAATATCAATTAATCCTAACTTTCTCTCTATCTATTTATCTATCTATATATATATAGAGAGAGAGAGAAAAAGAGATCATATCTAATAAGAACATATTATATTATGAGAGATAAGTTAAGAAGAAAAAAAAATCCTTAAAAATATTTTCATTGAAAAATAATTTATAAAAATACTCTCATATAAAATAATTATTCTAACTTGGACAAAAAGATAGTTTTTGAATATATTATATTTTTTAATATTATTAGATATAGATCAATAAAATAATTAATACAAATTAATGTAAATTTATTATATGCTAATAAATCACAATATATTTTTATTAATAAACTCTAATATTATTTATTAGACATATATATAATTTAAAGTAGAAAATCAAGAATTAATATTGAATGGTGGTGCACATCAGAGTTATCTGTCATTCACTAACAAAGAGAGAAAGTAAAAGTCAACTAAAGAACTAACATATAATAATAAATATTCATTCCCTCTCATAATAAATAATGGCATAAATTATTTTATACAATTAGAAAAATAAACATATGTAAGATAATGATGATTTTACAAAATTAATTATGCTTAATCTTCTTTATATAAAACGATACAACTTATTATCACTCTCTAAAGAATATTATGAGAAATTAAAAAAAAAATTATATTAAAAAATTAATATACACTTATTTTAAAATATATATTTTTCTCACGTGTGTGTGACACTTATTAGGAAAGGGAATGCGTAATTAATACACACTCCAAAAATAAATGCTTAAAAGTTGTGGAACGGCTATGCATTGCGACTTTGCGAGTGCTATAAATAAGTTGAAAGACATTGGCAAACGCAAACATGGCATTCTCCAAAGTCTCATTGTCTCTTGTGTTGCTTTTCTTCGTCTCACTTTCTTTCTCCTATGCAAATTCTCGCTTCACCCATGACCGTACCAACTCATCACAATCACAAGCCCAAACGCTCATTAGAAGCCTTAACCTATTCCCAAAGAAACCAGTTAACATTGTTAAAGGTGACCATGCTGATTTTGTCCCTGGAAAGATCGTCGAGAACAAGTTCTCGTTTTTTGCTCAGTCTGGATCTTCTGTTGAAGATCTTGGCCACCATGCAGGTTACTTTTCGCTTCCTCATTCCATAGCCGCAAGGTAAATTTATATATTATGATTTATATCACTTCCTCATTCCACTGATAAGTTTGGAATCACAATGTGCTGAGTCAAACAGCAACAAAAAAAACTCTCTCTTGGTAGCTTTTTTTAATCATGTAAAAAACTATCTACAGATAACTCTAATTTTAGTATTGCACAGCGATTATTGGTTTGAGATTGGTTAATTGATTTGAGTGTGGTATTTTCATTTTAATTAAAATGAATAAATTTGAATTTTGTCCTTTTATTTGTTCATGATCCTAATTTGTTGCCACATACAGGATGTTCTACTTTTTCTTTGAATCACGGAACAATAAGGATGATCCTGTTATCATATGGTTGGCAGGGGGACCAGGGTGCAGCAGTGAACTAGCTTTGTTTTATGAAAATGGTCCTTTTCATATTGCCAATAACTTGTCCCTTGTATGGAATGTTTTTGGCTGGGACCAGGTCAATTTCCATCTCTTTATTATTGAAAATGTCACACGAAAATTGTTTCTTTATTTGTCTCATATCAACAATTTTTTTTTCTTCTCATTTTACAGGCATCAAATATTATATTTGTTGACCAACCTACGGGGACAGGTTTTAGTTACTCTTCTTATGATAGAGACATTCGTCATGATGAAGTGAGCGTTAGCAGTGATTTGTATGACTTCTTGCAAGTAAGAATTATAAAGTCCTTCTTTCATTCCATTATACAAGATAATATCTTCTTGTGTATTAGTAAGATCTACTAAATTAATTTTACTATAATTGCAGGAATTTTTCAAGACACATCCTGAGTTCATTAAGAATGACTTTTATATTACTGGAGAATCATACGCTGGACACTATATTCCAGCACTTGCATATCGGATTAACCAAGCAAATAAACAAAATCTAGGAATACATATAAACCTCAAGGTCTTACACTGTTTCTAATATAATTTATCATGTTATATACACGATTTGTTTGGCTTTTGTTTGCATTGATTCATTTGACGTAACAACAGGGTTTTGCAATTGGTGATGGGTTAACAAATCCTGCAATTCAATATACAGCATACACAGATTTTGCATTAGACAACGGAATAATTAATAAGGCCGGTTATGATTATATCAGCAAGTTCATCCCAAGTTGTGAGCAAGCCATTGAAACTTGTGGTACTGATTTCATTTTTGTTTTCTACTCACACCCATCCCTTTTCATTAATTTACATATAGGTTTGAATTTGCCATGTTGTTTGTGTTTGATTTTTCAGAATTTCAAGGTGGACAAAGTTGCGACATTGCATATAATATTTGTGATAACATACTTGGTAGTATACTGAAAGCTGCTGGCAACAACCTTAATGTAAGTAAGAATGAAAGAACAATAACTTTTATTTTTAATTTTCTACTCAATTCGATTTCGTTATTGCATTCTGCTGATGTGTAAATTGCAGGTATATGATATCAGAAAGAAATGTGTAGGATCTTTGTGCTATGATTTTAGCAATTTGGAGAGGCTGTTAAACCTGCAGAACGTGAAGAGTGCTTTAGGAGTGGCGAATGACTTGGAGTATGTTCCATGCAGTATAACAGTGCACAATGCTATGAGGGAAGACTGGATGAGAAACCTGGAAGGGGGGATTCCTTCTCTTCTTGAGGATGGAATCAAGATGCTTGTGTATGTTGGTGATAAAGATCTCATATGCAATTGGCTTGGTAAGTCTACTTCATTCATTTGAAACAAATTTGTTTGTGTTGAAAAAATTATATATTATATGCTAGATTGAATTATTGATATGGTTGTTATTTGGCAGGGAATTCAAGGTGGGTTCATGCCATGGAGTGGTCAGGCCAAAATGCCTTTGGGACATCTCTTACATTGAAATATGTGGTTGATGGTGCAGAAGCAGGGTTTTTGAAAAGCTATGGACCTCTCACTTTCCTTAGGGTATGTGTTTAAGGTTGTATTTTTGAGTGTGACAAACATGTTAATTTCACTTGTGGTTATAACTTTATTTATGTGACACTAAAACAGATATTTGATGCTGGGCACTTGGTCCCTATGGATCAACCAAACATTGCACTTGAGATGTTGAAAGGGTGGATGGGAGGGACGCTTATGGAAACTAAAGGAGATAATTGATGTCACTTAAATTTATACTCACCTCGGAACCAAAACTCAACATCCTCTTAAACATGGATGGTAATGACAATTATTGTGTACGTGATTCCATGTATAAATTGGAGGATGGAAATTATATATTTTTTCTGAACCATTTCTGTGATCTTTATGTACTCGTGTCAACATTTCGTGCAAGGTTCACCATTTTCCTGTTTACTTTATTATAAGAAAATGCCAATTTTAGACTAAACAATTAAAAATTGAGTATTATATATACCAAGTGAACGTTGTGGGATTTAATCTTTTGTAACATTGTAAATCAGCCGTAAAACATCGCGAAAATCTATAATAGAACAAGCCGTACATATGAACCGGACGGAGAAGTCGTGGTTCTACCATAAGTGAGCTTAAAAAATAACAAATATTTTTTTATAAATTATTCAAATCTTTTAAATTAATATTTATCAATTTAATCTAATCTAAATTGATTTAAATAGTATAACCATAAAATTTGATTTTTTTGTTTGTAAAAATAGGAAAGATTACAAAGATGGTTGCAGTGAGGATTGAACCTAAGTCATCATACTTCTAACTACCTCAGTCCCTCCCCACCCAACTACTAGGTTAACCCTAGCGGTCAACCAAAAAATTTGATTTGACTAGTACAAAAAATTTTAAAATATATTTATACTGTAACACCTAATTGTATAAATATTAATCCTATTATTATACGTATATATATTTATAGATTGAAAATACAAGTATATTATTAATAATATTATACGTGATAACAAAAAAAGATTTTTCAAACTCATTTACATATAATTAGCTATTAATTACATTACATATTAAACTAAAAATATTTACAGCTACGTGCATAGCTACTTACTTCTCACATATCTATTACAATATTTACAAATTACGGTGATATCGATTTACAATGGGATTCACGTGATTGGTGGGAGGTAAATAAAAAGTAACTATTATATAGTCGTTGATTACGCTGGGAACTTCTTACTTTGGAGAGAATGTAAAAGATGACACCGCCACTCGGTTGAAAGTGATTGAGTTTGCTACCGCATCTACACTCCACGTAGTACCGGAAAATACTACGGATATAACTGAGGGAAAAAGGTCCTGGAATAGCCAGAAAATCCATCTATATATATATTTTTTTATATAAATTAATTATCTTAAGAAAATGATATACCTTTGAAATACTTCAAAAGTTATTTTTTTTTCTCTCTTTCTCTCTTTTCTTTTCTCTCTTCCTTCTTATTATTTTTCTCAACTTAAGCTTTTGTGTTTCACCAATTTCAATTGCATGTTCCTCTTCTATCTCAAACCTATTTATTATAGTATAAATTATAATAATTACCTAGTTAGCATTTGATGGGAAATTTGTTATTTAGTTTGATTTTAATCTCCCATTACCAATTTGGTTACTAAGGGATAAGGGTTATTAAATATGAGATAAGAGGATAAGATTGTTTTTGTACAACAACAGCAGAAAAAATCGGCTGCAGATTTTTTTTTTTAATAAAATAATATTTTTTTTACCCTTTCATAATATTTATATATATATATATATAAATTTA